TATAGTTTAAAGTCAGGTAGTTTTTTTGCCTCCAGCTTTATTTTTTTTGCTCAGCGTTGCTTTGGCTACGTGTGGTCTTTTATTATTCCATATAAATGTCTGGATAGTTCTTTCCATTTCTGAGAAAAATGTCATTGGAATTTTGATGGGGATTGCATTGAATTTGTATATCACTTTGGGTAGTATGGACATTTTCACTATGTTGATTCTTCCAATCCAAGAACATGGGATATCTTTCCATCTTCTTGTATCCTCTCTAATTTCTCTCAGCAGTGGTTTGTAATTCTCATTATAGAGGTTTTTCACATCTTTGGTTAACTCAATTCCTAAGTATTTTATTTATTTATTTATTTTTTTGGTGGCTATTGGGAGGTTTCAGTAATTGGCCACAATAATTAACCACAATGTTTATCGACAAAATAAAATAAAACAAAATAAAATTTAAAAAGTAGATGGGAGTTGAGGAGTAATAGGTCAGATGGAGGGCATTGGGAAAGATTATGATTTTTAATGATGAATATGTGAAAAAAAAAAAAGTAAGTGGGATCCAAAATATACTAAGTACCTACCACACCTAGTTAGCAACTTTATATACTTCAGTTATTCTTTAGAAATTTTATAGATGAACACAGTAAATATAGCAGAGTTTAAATGGCTAGCCCAGTATTACATAGCCATGGAAAAGAGCTGATATTGAATACTGGCCTTTGTGACTAATTAACCATTAAACTAGGTAAGGGATGTGAAGAAAATCACATTCATGGCTGATGATGTGTAACTGGAATATCTAATTGTATGGCTCAGGGTGGGGTGTTTGTGGGGGAGAGTGGATTTGTTCTCTTTAGTCAGTCCATTCTAATGCCACGTGCCCCAGGAACTGGGTCTCCTAGAGAAACACAAATTCCTTGGCCTGATCCCTGGATTACTGGGAACCAAACCAAGTGACTGATTGTTGGAATATTTCTTCTTTAAAAGGATGTTCTGATTCACATAGTTAGAGATAGAATGCATTTGTGATTTCCATGCTGAGAGATGAGAGGAAGGACAGTCAAAAGCAGTATTGCAGTCCATGAGTGACGAGCTCATGGGTCAAACTTGTGAGAGAGACATTGACTCTCGACTGTGAAAGTCTTCTCACTCAGCATCACCTTTAGAAATTTAGCTCCCACTTCAGCTTCTGCTTGAATACCAGTGCTTGGACCCTCACCACATCTCACTACTATGCCTCTGGTGGAACAGTGCAGCAGTGTTATGTCCATTAATCCTCAGAGCCTCCGCCTGCCACCCCGATCAACTCAGTATTTCCACATGACTGTTTCAGTTGCGAAATTAATGTGATCCTGCCATTTGTCTGAGATTCCAGAGCATGTAATGGTGTTGAGACCTTAAATCATGTCTGATTCTAAACAGAATCACATATTGGAGAGTTTTCATTGTTTAAAACCAACCTTCATGTGATGGTAACATTTTAGATTTGTTATTTCCAGCCACGTGTCCAAATACCTGTCTTGGTAAGAGACACATAACAGCCATCTATAATTCCTTTTTCCTGTCTAAATCCTTAATTCGGCACTCAGGCCCATTAGAAGAATGCTCCAAGTCTGGCTTGAATTGTCTTTGATTATGTCTCAGCCATGCCACATTGCTGATGTGTTGAGGCTACAATTTTAAAACATCCTCTAAGATATTTACACCTTGATTCTACATTTTTACAGCAGTGTTTGGATTCAGGTGTAATAATTTGCACCTGTCCCCATCACATTTCAGCTTATTGGATTCTACCTGCTGACACACTCTGATGATACCTGTGTGGACTACAATTTTATTCTCGCTGTATTCTCTGACTCTGTTCCATTGGTGAATCTGGAAGGCAGACTTTCTATTGCTTCATACATAATATTGACTCAAACAGAATGGTGCCAGGACAAAACACAGGAGCCTGAATTTGTCTCCTTTCTTCTTGTTAAATCGATTCATCTTTAGGCTCATATTTTCAGTCATATAACACTAACGAGAAAGTAAGGTCCCCCAGGGGATTTCCTTATACATGGCTGTACAGTTTGTTTGCATGGATAAAGATTATACATCCTCCGAAAGGTGTTCTGGTTCTCCTTAGGGCATCCATTAAGCAGCAGCCTCTGACTTTAATAGTAACACTTAGAATATGACAATTCAGGTTTAAATTCTTCCTCTGTTGCTTACTAAAGGTATAATTTGGGGCAGGTCATTTGAGTGCCTTTTAGTCCACTTTATTCAGCCATCACATGCTAGCAATAATAAATAAACTGCAATGTTTTTTTAAAAAAATACAATGAGGTAATTAGAGATGAAAGTGATTTTTAAAAGCACTATGCAAATGTTAGCTGTTATTATGTTTGAAAATAGATATTAATGAGAATATAAAGGGAGTGTTTACACTGCAATTTGTTCATGTACTCATGTGCTTGTTCCATCAAGGCATATTGATTGTCAGCTCTGTACTAGGCACAGTAAGGGGGAATGGCACCTCGATGATCTAAATCTGTTCCCTATCTTTGCTCACTGTCTGGTGGAAAGACAAACCTCTAAACTGCTACCATCATGTCCTTCTGATAAAGACTTCTATGTCGTATGCAACATACTTCTCTGCAAGTATTCCGTACGTGTATAAACATGATTTTTATTCACATTAGAGTGTAAGTCAAGGAAATTAGATTTATTATATGGAGGGTGGAAGTGGGTATGTTTAAATTGTGTTCAACGTTTAATGTTTAAAGAAAGGACAAATAACAGATATATAGAATAAAAACTGCTGTTTAAGTCCCAAAACCCATTTCTACGAATCTACAATCGACCCGTCCCACTTCTGGCCACCGGAAAGCTCAGAGGAGGAAAATTTCCTAGCCTTGAATAGGCAAGAAGGGGATTGGCCAGATCCTGGCATATTCAAATGACTTGGAATGGCATGCTGGCATTCTTGGTAAGCCATTGCCATGCATGGTGAACTACCTGACTTGGCTCCAGAAGCTGTGTGAGGAGAGCTGCTTGGTTGGCAGAGGACCCGTGGAGCCCACTCCATGTTCTCCTCTGGCAGGCAGAGGAGCTGCATGCCGCCCATTCGCATCTTCAGGCTCAGCAGTCTGGCAGTCGGGCAGCTCCTACAGAGTCGAGTGCCAATGGAAACTGGATTTGGATCCCCCAAAATCAGTGTGAAGCAAAAAAACTCAGAACTGCAGTACCTTGGTGCTTAATACCAGGCTTCTTGATCACCTCAAACTAGGGTGGCCATAGCAAATCTACTGCACTAACCCAGGGCTGAGAGGGGGGTCGAGTTGACGGATGGAGTAATGCCGTGGTGGGTTTCCTGTTTGTCACTATGGGAAGGCCACACTTACCTGCTCAATCCCCATTTACTTTGTATTCTAGGATAGAGGTCAGGAAGACTATATCCCACCTGCCTATACAGCTGTGGTGTGTTGAAAGACCCCTGGACTTAAAGTAAGAAGATCTGGGTTTGAGTCTCAGTCTGTCACTTATTTTCTGTGTGACCTTGGGCAAGTCACTTCACCTCTCTGAGCTTCAGTTGACTTCTCTGTTTAACTGGGAACATATTATCCGTCTCATGGGGTTGCTGTGAGAATTCAGTGAGATGGTGCATGTGGAAAGTGCTTTGTGCATTGAATATTGCTCTAGAGAAGCAAAGCAGAAGGCAGAACGCCTAACACTTTGTTTCTTTTTTCAGGTATTCATCGGGTGGTTTAAAAACCCAACAAAATGCATCAATAAATATGCAACTGCCTTCAAGAGAGACAAACCCCTATTTTAATAGCTTGGATCAAAAGGACCTGGTGGGATATTCATCCGCAAGGGCCAGTTCTGTGCCCATCATCCCCTCAATGGGCCTGGAGGAAACCTGCATGCAAATGCCAGGGATTTCTGAAGTCAAAAGCATCAAATGGTGCAAAAACTCCTACTCTGCTGACGTTGTCAATGTGAGTATTCCAGTCAGCGATTGTCTTATAGCAGAACAGCGAGAAGTGAAAATATTGCTGGAAACTGTCCAGGAGCAGATCCGAATTCTGACTGATGCCAGGCGGTCAGAAGACTACGAGCTGGCCAGCGTAGAAGCCGAGGACGGTGTGAGTGAAAACACAGCCTTTCTCCCCCTGAGTCCCATGGCCAAATCAGAACGAGAGGCACAATTTGTCTTAAGAAATGAAATACAAAGAGACTCTGCATTGACCAAGTGACTTAAGATGTAGGAATCTGTGCATTCTATGCTTTGCTCAAAAGGAAAGAGAGGAAATTAAATACAAATTATTTATATGCATTAATTTAAGAGCATCTACTTAGAAGAAACCAAATAGTCTATCACCCTCATATCATAGTGTTTTTTTATCAAAATATTTTTTTAAAGGGAAAGAAATCTTTCAGGATGGATAAAGCTTACCACTCAAGCTTTTGGGTAGAAATCTCAATCCACTTTCAGTTAGTCCCAACACTGCCTTCTTTGGCTCTTAGAAGATGTGGGCAATTCAGACCCTCTGTCCCACAGTGCCAGGGTCATCATGAAAAAGCACTGGCAGTTACCTGGTTTCAAAGAGACGAGCTGTATCCGAGGGCAGATGTGCCAGCGAGCAGGTGGCCCTTGCCATTTGGCTTGCCTGTCCCAACCTCTAAATTTCTATTCACCCAACAGCCTCATCACAGGTTATGTCACATTAACAAATGCAGTGTTTTCTATTTGATTTTTGAAGAATGGCACAAAGACTCTGGAATGCGAAGGAGGACAGGAGCTAGAGGGAGTAATCGTGGGCAAGTCTAGCTACTCTCATGTGCCATCTTTCTCTGAAATTTGAAAGCAGAGAATCTCAGAAGGAGGAGTGAAATTATTATAGAAAGAGAGACAAAAAAACCACAATCTTCTGTCACTAAAATCATGCTAATAGAAATGTTTTTCTTTGAGATTGTTTAGAGGCTCCGAAGGAGCATTTCTCAGTGTGTGTGTGCCTGTGTGCACATGTGTGTGCAAGCGAGCGTGCATGTGGACTTAGTCGAGCACATATGCTGTATGCACATGTGTTCATCGTGCGTATGTGTGTGTGCATGTGTGTGCGTACTAAGCTTGCTAAAATTTGTTCTGAAACATCAGGGAATCTAATATTCAGAAGAAAATTTCCCTCTTAAATCTATTCACTTTGAATTTTTCCATTAAGTATGAAGTTCAATTAGTAAGTTCTTAAATCAAGGTCACTTGCATGGCGGGGTCCTATAAAACTCTTGACAATGTCCAGACCATCTTCTGATGTGAATACTTTTGAGAGGAACAAGTAACTATTGGCTCATTAATGATATCAGTATAACAAGGTGAGTTAATCGAGGATGTGTGTTTATTTTGAAACATGCCTACTTAAATTATTTGCACAAGCCAGTTAACAAATTGACAGTTGTCATTAACTTTCTCATCGTCGTCATTAGTATTTATTTGATAACAAGTCTACTACGTGTGGACCAAGGCATCGGCTTCTGTGGTTAATATGGAAAGAATGAGTTGTTGAAATCACAAAGTCCAGACTTTTCAGTTCACAAGAAGCCCCCAAAAGAACAATAAATTGTGTTGTACGTTCATTTGGAATAAAGCAATATTTTTACCACTGCTAAGGTGAACTGAAACCTTTCCTGAAGATTTGTCTGTTTTATTTACCCTTACTTTCATGGGGCATTCAAGGAAATTAGTGTTCACATACCCAGTCTTTTTCAAATTATTGGTGGTGTTGAGTTGTTATGTTTACACTGTTATAAATAAAAAGGCACAGTATTTGAAAGTATATAAAAGATATCTTTTACTGCAGTTTGGAAAAACCTTGTTTAAAATTTCTTTGTGGAAGTCTCACATTCCGTGGAAAGGGAATGTAACTATTTCTGAACCAAGCAGTGAGTATATAAAATACTTATTTCAGATTAAGTTGTTTTTGTTGAAAATACACTGCAAATTGTAAATTCCACTTTGAGAACATTTTTAAATAATAGACATAATGCTAATATATTTTTATCAGAACTGCTTAATAGAAATTCAAGGTCTCAAACGTTGCAAACACTTTGGGAGAAGCATATTTTGTATCTAACAAAAGGTTTTGTGATATTTATTAGTTGTCCTATTACAGTTCTGTTTGTTTTGAATACAGAGGTACTGTTAGAATTTTAAAAGATTATCATAACTTTTTAATGTTTAGACCATCTATATTCTCATTTTAAAGTACTATATCTTTGGGAAAACTTTAGAAAGATGGTCTTAATTAACAGTTATATAAAAAACCCCATAAGCTTATTATCCAATCTGTTATTCTGCTGAAATTTTTCACAATTACCTAACAACTGGAAGGCCACACAACCTTATTTTCTTTGCTAAAATGTTCCCTGTTTCTTATCTAAAGGATCCATTCAGAATTCACGTAATTAAGGAGGGTCTATACTCTGAGACTCACTGCAGTTATTTTAATATATTATTTATGCTGAAAACATTGTCAATGAAACTTAAGTCTTGATCCAAACTCTTATTTTTTAAAAATGAAGTAGATCCATATGTTATGTAATTATAACCCCCACCTTTCGAACCTGTGTGTTCTAAAGAGCATGAATATCAGGCACATGTACTGGCAGTCTGACGTGAAGTCTAGAGATATAGTTGCTTTTTAAATTAATAGTCAAGACAAAATCCTCCATACATAAAGAACAAATATTAATGGTTATTTTCAGTGGTCATTTGTCTCCTCTTGGAATGTGATGCTATCCTCTGAAAAGTGTCCAAGCTCAAAATGTGCATCTTTAGGCACCAGCTGACAAGTGCATATAGCATCAAGACTTTCAGCATGGCAAACACCTAAGCCATCGGTATGTGGTCCTTCAAGCTCATGTGCCTACAAGGAAGTGCTTATTTCTACAAGACACCATTGATTTTGCTTCATTTTCCTTGTCTTTATTATACGAACAGATATGTGGAAATTTGTAATTAGATAGGCTGCATATTCTTTATTTACTGGAGGATGAATGTCACCCACTATTTTTTTAACTTCGAATCATTTTCTGATATGTCTATTTTTTTTTTATAAAGCATATGTTATTCTAATTTGCCAGTGACCACTGTGGAATTCTATTGTTCAAAATATATGACCAAGCTTACACTAATAAGAAATAGTAGAAATAATGTTGGAGCATTAAAATCAAAATTTTCTTCCTGAATTCCCTATGTACATTAAGTGCTCTATGTTTTATATTCTGGCTTAATATCCACCTTCCTGTCGGTTAAGGATTAACTATATGTAAATTTATCACCCTCCAATGATTTTCATTATTTCTAAGTAGCAATAACAAGTCCTCAGGAGGAGAAATAGTGTTGTTTATAGTACTTTACAAATTAATCTGCTTCGATCACATCAGACCTTCCCAAAAGAGAATGGAAGGGCCAAGCAGCCTGCAGGAGAATGCCCATTGGCTTCTGGATTGATTGAAAGGTACAGCATGAGTGGGGCCTCTGGTAACCACGGCTACGACTGTCAGTAACCACGTCCCCATCAGAGTATGTTTGATGTATGCAGCAGTCATTCACCTCTATCCTGCATCTATCTAATGGTGCTTTAGGAACCATGACTCCCTAAGCGTGTGTGTGTGTACGGGGGTGGGGAATGGTGGTCCACCAAATCCAAAGGGATTTGATTCCAGCCCCTTAAACCAGAAAATATCTCCCTGAGACAAGTGCTGTGAAGCATTTCTCAAATGAGTTCAGTATACAGTACTCCTAGGAACACAGCAGGAAGTATGGAATTTTTATTTGATCTTTTGCTATCTGTGAAACATTTTATATATAAATAATAATTTTGTATTACTATTCAATTGTACAGATTCAGTACAGTGTTTTCAATTGCATGTCTAAAATGTGTTTGTACTCTTATCTTCAGAAACTCAATCCTCATCGTGGCAAGACCAGCACAAAGTTTCTGGGCTGTTATTTTTAAATGCATCCCAATATGCCCTGGGAAATGAAGCCTTTAAATTAGCTTTATCTCTTTTTCTTCCTTTTCTTTCCTTCTTTACCTTTTAAATAAATAGTGAGAGCAAAGGAAGAAATTCATTCCTTAAGATCCACACTTGTTCTCTTTTCTACTGTGACTACACACACACACACATACACACACGCACGCACACACACACAGACACGAATATACATGTGTATGTATGTTAAATTTGAATGTTTGATTGAGCTTTATTTTTGCTCGGCTTGACACATATCAAAGTGATTGGCTCACAGAATTGCCGATGAAATCAGAGCATTTAGAGACCAGCCAGCTTGGCAACGTTTTGATCATACAGATATTTCCAGTTCCTTCTCTTTCTTAGGCAAGCAGAAATATTTCTGGGTTGGAAAACTCATGAAACCCTACAATAAAATCTCTGCTAGATTATCTCTTAGAAATGAATTAAATGATGGGTGTAAATGATTGCTGTCTTTAAAGTATATGATTGTCTCAAATATATTTTTTACAAATTTAAACGTAACATCTCCTAAAGTACATAAACAGTTCCCTTTGACTTCTGGCACCCACGGAACTCTAGTAAAGACAGTTTTTGGTGTGTGTGTGTGTTGGTGGGGGTGGTATTAAGTGATAATCCTGGATACCCCAGAGCAGCTAATAGGAGGGATGACCAGACACAATCATGATAAAACAAAAAGCAGGCCTAGAGTACCTTGATAAATTTTTGTCATGAATATCTACGTTAATTGCATGTGTATTGTTGCCTATAAAAGAATTGTATGACAGGAAACAATCTCTTATTGTTGGAAATTAATTAGAAATTTTTATATTAAAAGTCGCTTTTGTGAAAGCTTTTATCTATTCATAAGGGTAGCTCCATGATCTCATCTGTCGAATAAGATGGATGATTTAGTTTATCTTTGATTTCCCCTCCAAATTGAGTATGTTGCTAATTCAGTCATGCTAACCCAGACTTTACCTGGTCACTTGTCATTCTGTCATTCCAATGTAACTCTTAAAAAGGCTAATGGCTGTAAGTCTATTTTACTGAGTCTCAAAAATATTTGAAACCTGTATATTAATCTATGGACAAAATTTATATTTAAAATATCACATTTAATTTCCATGAAAAAGTAGACAGGATTGTTTTTGTGGTTGTTTTTAAAGTAAATTTACCTGGGACTGGTAATAAAAAAGAAGGAATGGCGGAAAATACCCAATTGCAAAACTTGAGAATCAAAGGTCAAATTTGCCCAGATATTTTTTAAAGAAACTGTAACTGTTTATCGAAGACAGAGCAAGGGGCACTCCAGAGAAGGCATGAGCCCTTGAAGACGTCGCCTTTCACAGAGGCAGTGAACACACTCTCATTGGATGTACGTGAATACAAGACATTTATCAATATTCTCAATTATTTGCATCTCAAACTTTTTAACATAAACTATTCAACTAATAGTAAATAGATTCTTTGGAGGCACTTTCACATCATGGTTGAAAATAATCCTATCTTTGGGAGCCCAATAGACCCCCCAAAAATGCAGGGTTTTCTTCCTTATTTAACTTTGGTTGTAATTTCTGTTTTTGACAAGTCACTATCTATACACTTTTCCTGTAGCATTGTAACTAGCACTAATTATTCCATTTATAATTTGTCTTTGTTGAGATCCTAAAGTCTGAATTCCTTAGTCTTCAATAAAAGAGTGTGAAATGGTAAAATACTTAAAGACAGTAAATTTAGTTGTGTTGTATTTTCAGTTATAAGCATCTACATAGAAGTTTGAGAAATCAAATTAGAAAAAAAACATTTTTTT